GCACTTTTGTGGAGGATGAGCACACAGCAGAGCCAGCCACGTCATGGTCAAAGGCACCTGTCCACGCACAAATGAAATTTAAGAAAAGAGCAGAGAGTGAAGCCCTTGGGAGCATTCACATGACGTGAAGTATTAAGTCCCACAGTTAGTCAGTCGGCATTTACCAGACAACCTTGGGACGGTGAGCGGGAGCCAAGATCAGAGGCACCAGACAGGAAATGATTCAAGAAAGGGCTGAAACTGGCTTTCTGATCTTTTCATTCACATTCATTCAACAAGCGACTTTATGCACCTGCCACGCTCCCAGCGCCAATGCGTGCATTACAGGGGGTAAGACAGGTGAGGTCCTGTCACTGAACTTGCGTTCTGTTAGGGGAGGGGGGCCGGAGACAACAAACTAACAAAAGTATTTATTTACAACTCGGGTAGTTCTAGGAAAATCAAGGATGCAACACAGGTGTGTGTGTGTGTGCAGTAAAACACATATAACACACAACTGACCATTTCCATCACGTCAAGGTACTGTTCAGGGTAATAAGAGGTTTAAACAAGGGTACATGTCAGAATGAGGAAGATCAGAAAAGCTTCCTTTCCTTCAAAGCAACAGCTGAGCTTTGGAAACAGCTGAGGATGGGGGAAAAAAAAGAGACACGTTGGAGGGCAGGGAAGGGGAGCTTTCTGGGTGGAAAGACACGTGCGGGTGCTCCCGTAGGAAGAGCTGGGTGGGCGAGGGACCCACAGGGGACCACTGTGGGCGGCAGATGGGGAGGGGGCCAGGCGTGCAGTCCTGGGGAGCTGGAGGAATCCAGGCCGTGTGGGGGGGCTGGCAAAGCAGGGCAGACGCTGGAATCACAAAGGGAACGGCTTCATTTGGACTCCCTGAAAATCTTACATCCAACCCTGGTCCAACGACGCGCATCCGAGCAGGAGCGCAAAGCACAGGGAGGCGAATGACATAAAGGTCTACTTTCTCAGCAACAGAAGGCCAGGCTCCCTGCACTGGACAAGCAGGAGCCGGATGAGGTCTTGGTCTTTTCCGTGCGATAAGCCAAAACGTTGGTCACACTGTCAAATCGAATATACATTTTTCCCTAGGAAAATTAAAGCCGTGTGCACCTCCTGCCTTGGACGGCCAGAGAGCAAGTCGGTGCAAGCAGACGAGACGTCACGCGCAGGAGGCCAGCTCCTGGCGCGGGAGGCGGTCATCGCCAGAGTCACCCCTGATTGAAACAGTAGTTGGAGACCAACTTTATTTTAAGAGACAAACTGAGAGGTGACAAGGGAATGGGCTTCTGCTGACAAGGAAAGCGAGGACGCAGGGTGTCAGGGAGGGAGGGAAGGGGGCCGAAAGCATCTCTTGGAAGCGCCGTGAGCTGCAGGATGGTTCCTCTCTGCTTCACTGCTGAGCAGGGCGGGGGCGCTTTCCTGGGATGAAGACAGGATGTCGGCGCCTTTTCTAGGATCAGAAGGAATCTGGATTCCTCAGTCCCTCCCTGCCTGCCCCAGCACGAGGTCAGCAGCGCTCAACTCTGAGGTCCTGGGCAGCAGTTTCCAGAGCGCTGGTTTCAAAGCCTCTGGGTGTCATTATCTGTTGAGACACCTGTCTCCTCCAGGAGCCCGACTGCCCCGAGGCCCTGGGGCCCTGGCGTGCACCGGACACCTGGTGTTTACTGAGACAAGGAGCCACTTGAGCGTGGAGCGGAGACCACGCATCCTCTGACTTCAGCTGGGCCACCTCGGACTCACAAAGCAAGGTGTTCTCTGGCTGTGTCCCCGGGGTAGAAGCTGGCAGCACAATCTCAGCTCTAAGAACTCGGCCAGGCCTCCGGCACCTGGCAGTCCAACCCCTTGCGACCTGCCCTCCCTAGACGGCGCTCACCAGCCGCCTCCGTGTGTGGGGGTCCCCCAGAGCCGCCGAGGCGCCCCGGCCCCGGCAAGTGACGCCGGCCAGCAGCTCGGGGGGCTGCTGGCTCAGGCAGGGCTGCCTGGGAGGGCCGACGGAGGCTGCAGGAGCGGCCAGGATGCTCCACTTTCCCTTCTTCCTCATCACATAATACCTAGTTGTGACTTTTTTTTTTCATTTTTAGGAGCATTTCCACAACTTTATCATCATTCAGCAGGTGCTTCGGACCAACCCGGCTGAACCCTTCTGGGACTCACGCCCCAGACAGTCCTGCCTGCTTCAACCCAAGGTCCAAGGGGAAGCGCGTGTGAAGCCAGGCAAAGCTCTGAAATGCCACCTCCCCCCCGCTTTGGGACCAGTCACCTCCACCTCGACACGTACACAGAGATCTTGGGCTAAAAAAACCCTCCTGTTACAGAGCTCGATGGCCTGAGCACCGGGAGGTGGGAAGAGCCGGCGCCAGCCTGCCACCGCTCAGGGCCCCCCGTGACCCATGTCCCATCAGGGCGGTGGTGACGGTGAGCACGAACGGAGGCTCTCCTGGGAAGGACAACGTGGCACGTGGAGCCCCCACCTCCTGCCGGCTCCCCTAGTCAAACACCAGAAGAGCTGTCAGAGGGGAAAGGCCTGGGGGTCATGAGAAGTCAGCAGCGGCCGAATCTGAAAGTCACGAAGCGGGGTCCTGCCCCTGTGTGGGGTCTGCCTGGATGACTGGCCCCCGCGGTGGCGCAGAGGAGAGGCTGGCGGGCACGGGAAAGGCTCTTTTCGGCTTTAGGCAAACCCCTTCCCGCACACGCTCTGCCATCTCTACCATCTGAAGCCTCTCTCTTATCTGCAGAGCCAGAACTCCTCAGACCAACCTCCAAACGGGCATCCTTTGAGGATGGCAAGCCACGGGGGGTCCCTCTCGTTAACAGAAGCCCTGCGCCCAGCCTCTGGGACACTCTGTCAGGTTGGCTCGCTCGTTCCCTCCCAAGGTACAATTTCATAGACTCCAGACAGCTCTCCCAGCCTCCCTCAGCAAAGCCGGAGGATGGACAGGGAGGCAGGCCGTCTGTTTCGGGACTTAGCCGGCACAAGGTGCATAAGGAAGATTTCCAGACGGCAGAAACCTCATGCAAGATGTGCTGATTCTCTGATTCTTTAACAGTTGGGGTCAGAGCCACTGAAGGACCAGGCTGTTGTCCAGCCCAGTTTCCAAAAGAAGAACTTTTCTCCCCAAGCACAGGCACACTCTGTGAAGCCAGCCCGGACGTCCCTGCGTCCTTGACCGCGCCCTTGGGGTGGGGGTGATGTCACTGCGGCCGTGACAAGCTGCCCGGGCAGGGCCCCTGGGGGTGGGGAGCACCCGGGAGCAGGGAGAGCCGCCACCTACCAGAAGTACCAGAGCCTCTGGATGGAGAGCGCCCGCACGCAGCACCGGGAGCCACAGCAGTCCTCGAAGGGGCGACATCTGTGGGAGAGAGGGCACAGGCTGGTCAGCGTCCCGCGGAGGCAAGGGCCAGGCCGGCCAGCAGGCCCCGGCGGGCTTCAGCGCGAAGGACACAGCTGCCACTGCTGCGTCTGGTGGCACCAGCAGAGCCGTGGTGGCCCAAAGGGAAGGCGCTGAGAGGGCCAGGGCCGGTGTCCTTCAAAGCACCGTGACCGCTGCACATCCCCTGGGCCGATCACAGCGTTTCCCTCTGCGGACGCACCGTGGCCGGAGGCCCGAGGACCAGCGTGGAACCTGCCCGCCCGCAGCCAGAGGGGCTCAGCCCAGCCGCGGGACTTCTGGCAAGCGAACCGCCCTCTGGAAGCCTCAGTTTCCCCATCAGCAGAAGGGGTGGGCGGGCAGGATCCCCTCAGGGCCTGCTTGAAGTCTGATGGGGAGTGATGATGAGGACCAGCTGCCACGCCTCCCAGCCCCGCGATGCTGGCGCTTGTGGTGTCCGGTGTCCATCTCCCCCAGAGGAGCCCCGAGAAGGGCCCTAGAAAGCACCCCCTGCCCAGCCCAAGGACAGGCCTCTGCTCGGTCCCCGGGAAAGGCCCTGCGCTTTGGTTTCTACAGACATACTGCCACTGAAACAATTTCAGTCCAGGTGGCAGTGGACCGGGCTGGGGGCAGGGGGAGGCAGGTTTTCAATAATATTATACTATCATGGAATTGAGATCTAGGTCCCTGCTAGCTTTCCAGCTCCTTAAACCCCCAGCACCCACTCCCTGCTGAGTCCTCTGTCATTTCAAGGACAAACGGAGCTGAGAGGGTCCCCCCACCAGTGAACCACCACCATCACGCGCACACACACACCCCCCGTTCTCCACATGATGGGACATTTCAGCCCACTCTCCCTAGAGTCCACGAGCTGGTTAGAAACTGCCGATTCTAATGAGATGCTCCTATAAGCTGTGACATAAGCTAACCTGGTTAACTTGCTTTAACCCACCAACAGCTGGCAGAGCGCTGACATGTGTGCTTAAAAATGCTATGGAGACGGGGGAGGGTGTAGCTCAGGGGTAGAGCATGTGCTTAGCATGCATAAGGTCCTGGGTTCAATCCCCAGCAGCTGCTCTAAACATAAGTAAATAAATAAACCTAATTGCCTCCCCTCCCCCAAAAAATTTTTTTAAGAAAATGCTATGGGCTCTCATAACCTATGCATCCAACAAAAAGCCACTGAGGCTACTAGGGACTTGGCCTGTGCTGGGTCCCGGGGGTGGAGCAAAGAACACCCAGACAGACGTCCCTGCCACAGAGGTGCCTTCTTTCTAGAAGAGAGAGACAAACAATAAGCAAGAAAAACAGGAACTGGGTCGGGGGCCCAGGGTACCACCTGCCAGCACCGCGCACACAACATCCCCCACAGCGACCCCTTGGTGTGTGCGTGCACGTGTGCGTGGACGGAGCGGGGGCTGCATTCGAGGGAGACAAAGGACGTCTCAGTTTTAGCGAACGTGGAGTTCAGACAATTAATTGTACACAAAAAAGAGATGGGACTGCTTCCGATCATGAATTTGCAAAAAGTCCTTAGCAACCGCGCCAGACTCATGACAAATGTGACCTTATGGAAGGCAGAACTCAAAGAGGGCCTCAAGACTCTCGCCCTCCTAGAGGAGATGGCCTGTGTGACCTCCTCCCCTGGAGTGTGGAGGGTCCCGCGAACAGGGTGAGACGGCCACCCCCATGGACCCAAGGTGAACCATTGTGCAAGACTGCTGGCTCTGAGGAAGCGGCTGCAGGGAGCCGCGTGGCGGGGACTCAGGGTGGTCTCCGAGAGTGGTGCAAACCACAGCCTGCCAGCAAGGAGACTGGGGCGTCAGTCCTGCAACCGCGAGGCAATGAATCCTGCCAGCAACCTGGATGAGTGTCCAAGAGGACCCCGAGCCCCAAAGAGGGCACGCCCCCGCCAGCCTCGTGGTTTCAGCTTTGCGACACCAGGAGCAAAGGGACCCATCAATGCTCTGCCCGGTTCGTGACCCACAGGATTTCTAAGATCATAAATATACGAGATTTCAATCTGATAACCTGTGTGGTTCATCACTCAGCAATAGGATTTTAATACAAATAAGAACACCGCTTACAGGCTTTGGGCACAGCTTAACAACCTGGATGCCAGGTCACATGACGTAATTACCGTCACTCCCATGTCTGAAAGCAGCTCAGGAACCAGGGCACGAGGGATGCCACACCTCCACCCAGCCCAGGTCACCGTCCGCTGAAGCCAAGGGTGGAGCTGGCCAACATCTCAGGGAGGCACTTGGCGGAGACCCTGCGTCTTCGGCAACACTGCGTTTTTCATCACCAAAGGGCCGCCTTCTCCGATCCCACTTAACTCTCCTATTCCTCCTTGTCCCCGCTTCTTACAAAAGCCATCACGGCGATGGTGCGCTGTGACTGTGTTCGTGAACAGTGACGGTGTAAGATTCCACAACCTTTTCGTTCATGCGAATGCACCAACCGGGAGGGACCAGGAGAAGCAGGGATGTGGAGGGATGTGTAAGAGAGTGAAAGAGGTTGGGGAGGTGTAGAAGGGAAGGTGACGTTCACAGTTTCCCAGAGGGCAGACCACGCCCAGAGGAAGCAGGAGGAAAGATGGAGATTCGGCAGGACTGTGGGAACAGGCGACGTGAAGGAACCAGACAGCCCTTGGGCAAACGATACAGCCACAGAGAGAAATTCGGCAACCGCTCTAACAACGCCCGAAGGGGTCCTTGGTTTAAGCTGGAACTGCAAATCTCCCCAGCCACCTGCCACACTGCATGTCAAGAACTCGCTATGATATTTAGAAAATATCATAAAGACAGAAAGCCATTAAGATGCGACACTGGCTAAAAGCATGGCGTTTGGAAAGAAAGATCAAATTTCCCACAATATGACACGACAGAAGAGAGTTTTCAACCATCGTGACCCACTACTGGGTTGTAACATCAAGTTACTGGGCTGTGACAGGCATTTTACAAAGGTAGAGACCACTTTTTTCATACTTTTTTTTTTTTACAAATTAGCTTTATTTTTTATTCTATTTAATTATTTTATTTTGGCGGGGGGAGCGGATAGGTAATTTAAGTTTATTTATTTTTTAGAGGAGGCACTGGGGATCGAACCCAGGACCTCATGCATGCTAAGCATGCGCTCTAACACTTGAGCTACATCCTCCCCCACTTTAAAGATCACTTTTAACAAATCAGAGGGCACCAAACATAACTCGTGTTTTGTGGAACTTAGGTTTGGGTCACACATGCAGCCACACAGATAAACACATTCCTCCAAAGCTAGCGCTGTGGAAGCCCTGGGTCAGACGCGGACAGGCTCAAGTTTCTGTTGTGCCTGCATGGGCTTCGTCCTCCTGGCGGGTTCCGGGCAGCTGCAGGTCCCAGTCCCCTGACTAGCTAGCAGGGCACTTCTTGCTGTCAACAGTGCTGAGCTAAGGGTTCTTTCTGGCCCCCGTGATTTCTGTCTGGGTGACACTGGGTCCAATGACCTACTGCATCTTTGCTCCTAATTCTGCTAAATGTCCTGCAACAATCAAATTCTAGAAGGTACAGCTCTCCCTGAAGGGGAAAAGCCACAAAGGGGCCAGCAAGACCTCCTAGGCAGGGCCACTGCCTTCCTGCTTTTGCGCTTCTGAAAAACGGCTTGCTTCCAGGAAAACGAAACTTACCCCTAAGATTCCATGGGTTCCCAAAAGCTCGCTCCTGATTGGTCCATTTCT